GTCATTAGAGGTCATTAAAATTCAATTTTATTTTACTTTAGGAATTTCGATCACTAATTAGGCGTGCACCCAAAAAATTGGAAGATTTGAACCAAAAATGGAGGCAGGCCCCCCCCCCCCTATATCAAATGTGCCAACTCCACCATCCCCTTTTTAAGAAGTTTAAACTCTACCACAAAGAAAATAGTTAAGATTACTTTGTAGCATTGCTATAATGAAATTAACCATGAACTGAAAATGATTGATGAAGCACAATTTTCGATAAGAATATTTGAAAATCTTGTTTGCTAGGGTTCCGAGGATGATAATGGTGCGCAAGAACCGGTCCCCCAGCCTACTCCTACTCAACCTCTGAGCCCTAATCCATCCTTGAGCCCAGCTACTCTCCTTAAACTAAAGATTGACGAGGTTTCCAAAAATATCAGGGGAAAAATCAAAGGTTCAGGTTTCTGCCTGTTCTGTGACAAGTACATTGTATCACTGCGTAGACATATTAAACAAAAGCATCTAGAAGAAAGCAAATTGATCCAAAATATGCCGAAAAAGATAAAAATGCACACTTGCACAGTTTGTAGCAAAGCATTCAAGGAAAATGGAAATTTAAAGAAACACATGCGGATTCACACGGGAGAGAAACCCTACACTTGTACTACGTGTGAAAAGTCTTTTACAGAGTCCGGAGGATTGGTTCTACACATGAGAACGCACACTGGCGAAAAGCCCTACTCCTGTGATGTTTGTGGAAAACAATTCTCCAGGAATGGGGGACTAACTGAACACATGAGAATTCATACGGGAGAAAGACCCTACTCTTGCACTGTCTGTAAGAAAACCTTCAATCAATCAACCAATTTAACAGCGCACATGAGAGCTCATAGTGATGATCCTCCAACCTGCACCATCTGCCAGAGAACGTTTGTAAAACCGACCACTTTGACAATACACATGAGAACTCACACTGGAGAGAGACCCCATATTTGCCCTACTTGTGGTAAATCCTTCATATCTAAAACATCGTTGGGTAGACACATAAGGTTTCATTCAGCTGAGAAGAAATTCTCTTGTCATGTCTGCACCAGGGCGTTTGTTGAATCCGGTAATTTACGCAAACACATGAGGATTCATACTGGTGAGAAGCCTTACACCTGCACAACATGCAACAAATCATTTACTGAATCCAGTACTATGGTTAAACATATGAAAACGCATACCGGAGAAAAACCTTTCTCTTGTGAAATATGTGGATTATCGTTTACCAGAAACGGAGGATTGACCGAACACATGAGAATTCATACTGGAATAAAACCCTACTCCTGCCTGGTTTGTAAAAAATCTTTCAATCAATCCGCAAATTTGGTGGTTCATTCAAGAATTCACACTGGCGAAAGACCATATTCTTGTACTCAATGTGAGAAAACGTTTGTAACCACAAGTAACCTGGCAAGTCACATGAGACTACACACTGGTGAACGACCACATACCTGTTCTCTTTGTAAGAAATCCTTCAGTCAATCTTCGACTCTAACCCTGCACATGACAACCCACACAGATGAGAGACCTCATAAATGTTCTATATGTAGCAAATCCTTTAAAAGAACTACTACACTCAACAAGCACAAGAAAACTCACAAGAATTCTATTATTCCAGAATTGAAATCTGAGATTGAGCATGAACCTGAACCCGAAAACGATACTGAAAATATATCTAAAACTCAGCTGTAATACTCACGCTATTTTTGTATGAGCTCTGATAAAATCAGTTTTCAAGAAAATTCTGTAAATCATCTTTTCATGGTAATGTATTGCTGAATTTGGACAGCTTTAGTAGAAAAGTATTCAAAAGAAAGAAAAATATGTTGAAAAAATTATTAAAATGATTTTGCTCCGATTAAACATTTTAATATATAGGTAAATTTTAAAAAGTTTTTTTAAAAGTGGGAAGGCATGGTTTTCGAAGAAAAAATACACACCTGCTGTCATAAAACGTTTCTGTGTTGATATTGTAGCTATAAAACTTATATTGTACAAACAGTTTGGAATTCTTGTAGAAAAAGATGAAATTACCCAGTTTATTCTGGTTGTTCTTTGTTTAATTTTCAAAACAAAATGGTGGTTTGTCAATTAATTGTATTCATCTGAGAATTTTTTCTTGTAATAAGATATTAAAGACTTATTTTTGCAAAAACATTATTTTCTCTAAAGACTGTAGATTATAATGTTAAAAAAATATTAATTTATCAGCCTACATTCGCAAATTATTTTTTTGTTGAAAGAATATTAATTTACTTTTTCGATGGCAAAGCCTCTGCAAATCTGTGTATATATATTTAAAACTTCATTTAAACCATTTTTTCAGAGAAAAAAATGTTGAACGTAGAGAACGGTTGGAATGCATTTATTAATTTTGAGAATTGTGTTTTTAATCCCGAGAAAGAAGATTTTTCAGATTTTATTGAGATGTGGAACAACAGGTATGTATTAAAATTGGACATTTTTTTGTTTGTTTTTAGACCTTTAATGTTTTTTTATAAAATGAAATTCTCTAGATTTCACAAAACTCTGTTTTTCAAAGTTTATTTTTCTGATGAAATATATTAAACTAAAAGACATATTTAGTAATTTTTTCGTTTTGACTTTTCTTTCAATTTTGAGGAGTTCAGATAAAGAAACCATGCATACATATTAAGAATATAATATTCTTGCTGAGTCTCGATGAAATGCTTAAAACTAAATGTTTAACAAAAACCAAGCTCGAATCTAAGTGGAATAATTTTTGTTCTTCTAAATATTTCTTCAGTTGAAAATATCTGAAAAAAGATCAAATTTTGATAACAGATCTCCAGGCTTGAAAATTCGTTTACATGTACTTTTGTGTGGCATTAATCCAATACAAAAAAATCATACTATTTACAATACCTGGATTACACAACAGCGCCAAACAATGAATTTTTTCAGTACATTGTACTTTTTGCCTTGCAGCATTGGCTTCAGGCATTGTAAAATGTACAACACTTGAGTTGGTGAAATTGAATTGTGGTTGCAATTTGAATTGGTTAAATTGTGGTTGCAGCTTGGGTTTAATTATGGTTGTAGTTTGAATTGAAATATGGTTGTAGTTTGAATTGAAATATGGTTGTAGTTTGAATTGAAATATGGTTGTAGTTTGAATTGAAATATGGTTGTAGTTTGAATTGAATTATGGCTGTAGTTTGAATTGAGTTGTGAATGTAGTTTCAGTTCAATTGTGGTTGTACTTTCAGTTCAATTATGGTTGTAGTTTCAGTTGAACTTTAAGTTGAATTGTGGCTGTATTTTGATTGAATTGTGGTTGCAGCTTTTAAGTTTTTATTTATTATTTAGACTTCAAGATGCGGTAGATGCTGGCCTAGAATATTCAAATTCTCTACTGGCGTTTAATCTTCTACGAAGTTCAAATCTCTCCGCGCATGTACAGTCCCGTGTACTGTCTGCGATGCAGTTGGAGTACGACGAAGATTGTGACATCATTCATCTTGTTATTCAACTTCTGGACAAAGAATTTGTTCAGGATTCACTCACAGTTCTAGATCAGGTTTATTTAATAATTATACATCCATTTATAGTTCTTGATCGGGTATATTTATCCTTTAATTTTTAGTTCTTGATCAGGTATTCATCCTTTCATTTATAGTTCTTGATCAGGTATATTTATCCTTTCATTTATAGTTCTTGATCAGGTATATTTATCCTTTCACTTGATCAGGTATATTTATCTTTTCATTTATAATTCTTGATCAGGTATTTATCCTTTCATTTATAGTTCTTGATCAGGTATTAATCATTTAATTTATAGTTCTTGATCAGGTATATTTATCCTTTCATTTATAGTTTTTGATCAGGTATATTTTTCCTTTCATTTATAGTTCTTGATCAGGTATTAACCCTTTCATTTATAGTTCTTGATCAGGTATATTTATCCTTTCATTTATAGTTCTTGATCAGGTATTAATCCTTTAATTTATAGTTCTTGATCAGGTATATTTATCCTTTCATTTATAGTTTTTGATCAGGTATATTTATCCTTTCATTTATAGTTCTTGATCAGGTATATTTATCCTTTCATTTATAGTTCTTGATCAGGTATTAATCCTTTCATTTATAGTTCTTGATCAGGTATATTTATACTTTCATCTATAGTTCTTGATCAGGTAAATTTATCCTTTCATTTATAGTTCTTGATCAGGTATATTTATACTTTCATTTATAGTTCTTGATCAGGTAAATTTATCCTTTCATTTATAATTCTTGATAAGAGATCTTTATTTTCTCTTCTTTGCAAATTTTTGAAAAGGATAATTTTACGTTTTAGAAATTTAATCGTAGTTGTAGTCACTCTTTTTTGCCACTCTTTAATAAAATTGCTTTCAGAAACTTTAATTTATTGATTTATTATTTAATCCGTTAATTTGTTCCAGGAGGAGCTTATTCAGATCAAGATTGAGGATAATGAAGATTATATTGTTCCACTTAAAATTCATGTCAAGAATGAAAAAATAAAGAAAATAGTAGAAGCTAAGAAAGAAATTCAGGTATTCAAAATATTGTTTTACGTTTTTAAAAAAAAGTATGAAGAAGATTTTAGTGAAAAAAAAATATTTAAAAAATGAGTTACCTCCTGTTTCCTTAAAGGTCCTTGGATTTATTTTCAAGTAACACTACATCTATAAAAGGGCATGATTCACAGCGGTGCCATTAAAAGCTTTGTCTGATCTAGAACACATGATATTTCCATAATCGTCCTCTTTGATGATTGGCTTTTTTTAATGTGGGTTCTCTTTAACGCATTTTCACGTCTAAAATGATAAAATAATTATCAGAATTAAATAATTTTTCTAGCTGGGAAAACGAAGATATCTTATTATAATTGATCAGAAAAAGGTTTAAAGTTTACTGTTGTGAATTGTATTTTAATTAGTCAGTCGCATGCACATTTTTATGGCAATTTAATAAAAGAAAACGATTTTCTCAAGTTATGCGAATTTTTTAATTTTGTGCAGGGGTCGCAGGGGTGTATAAAGTGTATTTTCTTCATAAATTATTTTTTGCAAATAATTTCTTTCCTTTAGTAGATGTTTTAGTAGATGTTTATAGGAATTCTAATTCAATGGTTTTAAGGAGGACATTAATGATTTTTTGGAAAAAAAGATCCGTATCTATAGATCCGCATTGAAATGTAATGGATCCTAAGCTTCCGCATTTTTGTTCCAATCTCAAGTTCTCACGAATGGAAATGTGATTTTGTGCTTTTGTTCAGGATTCTGAAGATGAAGTGAAAAATCTTGAGTCAATTCAAGATCTTGAAGAGCTTAACCCTTCACCACCATTACCCTTTCCTTCAGCACATCTAGAACCACAAAGTACATTGACACCCCACACGCCTTCAGTGGCAAATAGTCATATGGCACCACAAAGTCATCCATCCCATGAAGCACCACTAAGTCCTTTAGTCCCACAAAGCCCCTCAGCTTCACAAAGTCCATCAGCAGCTTTCTTAAGTTCATCTCGATCTCCCAGCCCTTCCTCGTGTCTTAAACTCCAGATGAAAGAGGGTACTAAAGAAAATCAGGGAAAAGTAAAGGGTACTGGATTTTGCCTATTTTGTAATAGGTACATCATCAATTTGCGAAGACATATTAGGCAGAAACATAAAGAAGAAAATGAAATTCTTCAGAAACAACCTGTTGAAAAAAAGTTGTTCATATGTCCAGTCTGTAATAAGCAATGTAAAGAAAAGGGCAATTTAAACAAACACATGAGAACTCACACTGGAGAGAAACCATACTGCTGTGCCACATGCGGGAAATCATTTACCGAGTCTGGTAGTTTAAATGAACACATGAGAATTCACACAGGGGAAAAGCCCTTCTCTTGTCATATATGTGGGAAACTTTTCACCAAAAGTGGAAGTTTGAAATATCACATGAAAATTCATACGGGAGAACCAAGGCAACCTAAGGGACCCAGGGCAACCTGTTCTACATGTAATAAATCTTGTCTTAATCTTCAAAGTTTAAAAATTCATGAAAGAATTCATACTGGCGAGAAACCCCACTCATGTACTATTTGCGGGAACTCGTTTTCTTTCTTATCATCCTTTAACAGACACGTTCGAGGTCATTCAGATGAAAGGCTGTTCCCTTGCACTGTCTGTGAGAAATCGTTTAAAGAATCGGGTAATTTGAAGAAACACATGAGAGTGCATACTGGTGAGAAGCCGTATACCTGCACCACCTGCAACAAATCATTTACTGATTCCAGTTCGTTGACAAAACACATGAATATTCACAGTGGTTTGAAACCTTTCTCTTGTGAAGTATGTGGATTATCTTTCTCACGAAATAGTGGATTGACAGAACATTTCAGAATTCATTCAGATGAAAAACCTTATTCATGTTCAGTTTGTTCTAAATCTTTTAAACAATCTACAAACTTATCAGTTCATATGAAACTACACACTGGTGTGAGGCCGCATGCATGTACACAATGTGACAAAACATTCATAACTTCAAGTAACTTGACAAGCCACATGAGACTGCATAGTGGAGAAAAACCACATACTTGTTCTCTTTGTAAGAAATCCTTTAGTCAGTCTTCGACACTAACCCTGCACATGACAACCCACACAGATGATAGACCTTATGAGTGTTCTAAATGTAGCAAATCATTTAAAAGAACCACTACACTAAACAAGCACAAGAAAACTCACAAGACAACAGTTGTTTCAGAATTGAAATCTGAAACCGAAATTATTCAGTGAACAAATTTCTCATTGGATAATATTGAATGCTACATTAATACATTAATATCCATTGTGGCTATTTTTGACCAGGTCTCTACCCTAACTTCTACGGAATGATGGTTGATCGCTTGTTTTATAGTTTGTCTGAGTAAAGAAATTATCTCTATTTTCTAGAACAAAAAGACTGTAGACGTAATTACAAGTGACTGAGTGGTATGTCCGATTCACAGCAATATCCTTTAAACTTCTATTTGATAAAACAATGAGGAAAATATCGTCGTTTTTCTTTCTTGAAAATCTCAAATTCCCGCAATTATAAAGCTGCAAGTAGTTTATCAGAGAACGCACAACTAAACATAATCAATTTTGAGCTAAAAAATAAGAATATCTCGTCATCCTTGACAAGTTAAAGGTTTAAATGGTATCGTTGTGAATCGACCATGCCACTCTTTAAATGATAAAGAATCACTTAAAATTATGTCATTAGTTCTTTAAAGGTCAAAAGATTATATCTTAACTAACCTTTGACCTTTATAAAATGTGTTTAAACATAAATAAATTAGAAAATAAATGTGGCCTGGAAAAAAAAAGATATTATGTTAAATATTTCGCCATTATTTCAATTTTTTATTTTTATGTTTAAATTTCGCTCATTGTGTTTTTACATTGTCTTATTAAATAAATTAGATAAGTTTTTGTTACAAAATTTTCGATATTTCTTTTATTTTGAGTTATACGAGCTATTAGTTTGTTTAAACCAATTTATACGGATTTCTTGCCAACAAAAATGTGATACGGAAAAAAATACCCTCTCAAAAGTTAGCTAGTTTGATTCAAAAGTTTATGCAAGAAATTTTTTTACAATTCCGTTTTTATTTGGCAATTTTGAATTAATTGTTATTAAAAAACAAAATATGTAAAATGCTTACATTTTTGCGAATGGGGGGAAAACGCCAGATTTTTGGTGACCTAAAAGTTTATGCAACGAAGTTCAAAATGAAAATGAATTGGACAAGAAAAGCGCTTGAGACAAATCAGATAAAACGAATAGTTTTTCTTTGGAACAATGGCAGGGATGATTTTTAAAATCCTGGAAAAAAATTACTTCATCTTTTTTTCACAGATTTGTTAACAAAGATGAATTTGTTTGTTCAGATTTTTTATGTTTTTGAAGCATGTAAAGGGGATGGTGGAGTTGGCACATTTGATGTAAGGGGGGGGGGGGGGACCTGCCTTCATTTTTGGTTCAAATCTTTCAATTTTTTGGGTGCACGCCTAATTAGTGTTCGAAATTCCTAAAATTAAATAAAATTGAACTTAAATGACCTCCACAAATAGAAAATATTTCAACTATGGCTTAATGCATATCAAACGAAAGCTAAAAACCCAGGGAATAGAGTAGCAGCAACAAATCCAGTGCTTGACCTTCTAATGACCTAAATGACCTCCAAAAATGAAAATGTTTTAACGATGGCTTTATGCATATCAAACGAAAGCTAGGAATACAGTTGCAGCAAAGAATCCAGTGTTTGACGTTCTACTGACCTCCAAAAATGAAAATGTTTTAACTATGGCTTTATTCATATCAAACGAAAGCTAGAAACCCAGGGAATACAGTAGTAGCAACAAATAAAGTGTTTGGCCTTCTAATGACCTCTTACGACCTTAAATGACCTCTAAAAATGAAAATGTTTTAACTATGGCTTTTTTGCATATCAAACGAAAGCTAGGAATCCAGGGAATACAGTAGCAGCAACAAATCCAGTGTTTGATCTTCTAATGACCTAAATGACCTCCAAAAATGAAAATGTTTAAACTATGGTTTTATGCATATCAAACAAAAGATAGGAACCCAGGTAATACAGCAGTAGCAACAAATACAGTGTTTGACCTACTAATGACCTCGAATGACCTAAATGACCTCCAAAAATGAAAATGCTTTAACTATGGCTTTATAGATGGTCAAACACTGGATTCATTGCTGCTACTACATTCCCTGGGTTCCTATCTTTTGTGTGATATGCACATATATCTGCATATAAACAGTAAGAAGATAGATTGATATTATAATGGTAGAAATATGGATAGATAGATAGATACCGGGTTACCAACAAAGGATGAGACTGTAAAGACGACTTGAAACCCTTCAAAGATTTCAATTCAAAAGTAATATCTAATTAGTCGTCTGCTTAGAATATGGTCTTTAAATAGCTTATTTAATGATTTGGCAAAGGAAGAAAAAGTGAAGTCAAAGCTTAAAGAAATCCAACGTATAAAAACAGCTACAGGGTGTCCCACGAAACATGACAGTTGGTGAATAGTTTAAAATGACTTTCCATTATTTGTTCAGTTGTTTGATACCAAAGATCAATGAAAATAATATATGGGAGTCATGTTATATTAAAATTGATTTTATTATGTACTGACAACATAAATGAATGATTATATGGTTATACATAAATTTGCATGTTACTATTAAAAAAAAAAATTTTATAAAAATGCTATCTACAGTTTTATTATTAGAGAGAAAAAAATTTTCAAAAGTATAAAAAAGTTCTCCAGTAATGCGAATATGATTTCATAAAATTCCGTTTTACTATTTAAATAAAAGGATTTTATGAAAATTATATCTACTTTACACTGATTATTTAATTTCTCAAAAATATAAAAAATGGTCTCCCGGAAAATACGCCTTGTTGCTATAACGTGGCGGTTTCTATACGAAGGATTTCTATAAGGTTTGACGCCAGAGTGTTGGATACCCTCTTAGCTAGAAAAATACAAGCTTTTTATGACAACTAATATTTTAATGGTTAAATGAGAACTTAACTAACTTTATATTCTTGTTTTTATATTTAAATAAAAACGAGCATTTCAGGGGTGGGTCTGTTTTAGAATAAACATTTCCACCCAAAACACAAATATTACAGACATTTTATTAAAACTAAAAGTTAAATATTGTTTATTGTTAATCAATAAAGGAAATAAAGTAAACGTTTTATTAATGCTACGTCTTTAGGATTTATAGATATGACTTGTGACATACAGAAAAAAAACTGAAAGAGTTTCTGGTATTTACTAATGTAAATTTCAACAATTCCTTTATTTTAGATTATTTTTAAAATTTCAAATCTAAATAAAATAAAATTTGGATTTTTGAAAGATTAAACATTAAAACTTCTTCTATTAAGGGACTTCAAAAAAATTAGAATCGTTTTTCAATTGTAAAATTTTGTCGTTCAGGAACTGGATGATTATTCAAAATGCCTCACCTAATATTTTTTTTACTTAAAATACAATACTCGACATCTTCATTGATACCCCTGTGTTCTAAACTAGAGCATTGTTTAAGTCATCAAAAAAAAAACTGAGATTGATAGCTTTCTGAAATGTACTTTGAATTTCGTGTACTCAAATGTTCATGTTTTTTCTATCCAAATCTGAAAATGTTAAAACCCATAAGAGGATTTTTAAAACTTCCAAGTAAATAAAATTTAATGAATTTTATATTAGACTAGCTTGCGAACCCTGCGCTGCCAAGTTTACTTATACTCCCGCCGTTTACCCGCACTTGAACGATTTTACTTGGAAAGTGAAACTATATTTCGCTATTAAAGTCGACCCACTCAAAACCAAGCTAAGAACATTCCCATCAGTGTCCCGAGTTACACATATGAGTTTGAGGCAAATCAGACCAGGGGTTCCTGAGTTATGATTTCAAATCAGACCACGGGTTCCTGGGTTATGATTTGACAAACAAACAGAGATTACAACTTACTATATATAAAGATTACACATTTTTTAGAATATTTTGATTTTGGTGAGAGGAATCATACAATTTTTATATGAAAATATGAAAATGGGGGTAAATCTTAAGCAAAGTAATATTTTCATTAATGACCTCTTGAAAATGATTTCTGAAAATATTTATCCCTGGAAGTTGAAAGAATCCACTTAACTTTCAACATGTTAAATAAAACGATAGAAAAAGAAAACATAGTTTACTTAAACAAATATTTGTAGTTCTATACAGGGATTCCCAAAAACCATTAACTAAAATCTAAATATATTTAAAAGACACTATTTTGAACAAATGTATTGAAGCATGTTCTAAAAAGCATCTTTATGTACTCCCTTAGAAGAGGACATTTAATATTTGAAAGAGAAAATCCTTTTCAGCCTTGACAGGCTTGATAGCCTACAATATAGTTCATTTTAATTTTATTTTAGAAATCCCCGTAATTTGTTTCAAATTCTGTGTCCTCTTCTTTAAGGACACGCAGTGCATTGCTGCCCATATTAAACACCACGAGAAAGCAAATAGTTTTATAGATTTTCTGGAAGCTGAGCTGTGGAGTTCAACTTCAACTTCAACATCATTAAAGCACAATTGATAACTGAGTAATTTCAACTTTCATTTTTCAGAAACCTTGTTATACATTTACCTAATACTTTTTGAATTTTAGCTGATAATATCTGAATTTTAGCTAAAACCATCTAAATTTTAGCTAAGACAATCTAAATTTCAGCTAACACTATCTGAATTTTAGTTAATTCTATCTAAATTTAAGCTTATACTTTCTATATTTTAGCTAACACTATCTAAATTTTAGCTAATACTATCTGCATTTTTGCTAATTCTTCCTCTTTTGGTCGTTTTTACTACAGTCATAACCTGAAAACTCCGAAATAGGAAGACGACTTTATGGCAATATGAAAATATATTTGATGTTGTTACAAAGCAAATTTACTCCACATTTCTTAAATCAGAAATCAAGTAAAATGGGTCTGTTTACACTAAACAATTTCTGTTTCCCGTGCTCATTGGACTATCTAAAGTCATAATATGAGTTTAAAAGTCGTCTTCCTATTCCAGAGTTTTCTGGTTATCACTGTATATAATTTCTAAAATAGTCAGGGTTGGGAGGGACAAAATGTGGTGCTCTTTTTCCAGTTTAATTCTTGAAATATAGTATTAACTACTAGGACTGTACACACATTTTTGTGTGACTCTCCATTTACAGAGGGGCATGTCGGATTCACAATGGTACAGTTCAAGCATAAAAAATTATATTATATAATATAAATCATCTCCTCTTTGTATATACAGATTTCTGATTCAGAAACAAAGGAGTAAATTATCAGAATTAAAAATTTTCAATAAAGAGATCTTTCACATTCTTGATGAGAGCGCGGTTTAAAGGATACCATTGTAGCTCAGTCATCCTTCTCTTTAAATGGAATGGTAACTTGAAATTTCAACAACAGTCCCTTCAAGCTGAATCCATTTTTTAAAATCCAATTTTACAGTATCCAGAAGCTACCTCCATCTCTATAATTTAATTCCAGGGAGAAGGACGTCCCCAGAATTTTCCAGGAGAGAGGGGGCTCCATCCTCCCCACCCCTCCTGGAGTGAGGGGGCTCCGACCTCCCCACCCCTCCTGGCCCACAGCAACCTCTGTCCACTCTATTTGTTTAAATTGTCCTCTATTAAATTAACAAAAACAAAAAAATAAGTTTATGCTATTCTTAATTTTAGAGTTGAATATTTGTTTTCTGGGAGGAAATTTACTTTAATTAGGACCATTGACTAAACTAAACTAAAATTGGTAAAACGTTGGAAAGTCAAGTTTCCATGTATTAAACAAATTTACAAAATACATTTAAATTTTACTGGAACAGTTTTATACATTAAGGAGTTTTTTTTGTCTTTAAAACAGAAATATTTACAAACTATTTGATTTTTAAACTTAATAATCAACAAACTGCAAAAATCAATTAATTTTATGTAAGAAATTATTTTGTTGTAGAATTTATCCAAATGATCATGAGAAATAAAAATATCTGAAAAGAAAATACCAATTTCTGGGTTATTTTGTAATTGAGCCTAAACCGGAATAATTTTTTTATAGCCATTAAGAAGTATTTTTATGATAATCCCTAATTAGTTATTATAAATCAATTACCAAAACAAGTAAAACAAATTAAAAATTGAGTCCAACTTACGTTAATTCAAATATAGAAAAGCAACATTTAAAAAAATGTTTCTACAAGTTAAGATTTAACAAGATATCAAGTTGAGGGGCAAAAATATAGAATTTGACCAGACCTTTCAGTTCTATAGTGTAAAATCAAGAACTGAGTCTAAAACTAACTTCGAACCATTTTATCCTAGGTAATTATCAGAAGATTGAGGATGAAACTGGATCCAAACCTGAGGAAGTATCCTCATGAAATAATAAACTTCATCAAGGAATTATCATCTTGATTTAAAATGAAATTCAGAAAGTATTTCTAAAACATAGATGCTTCAAAAATATTTAAAAACCTGCTACAAAAAACATTACAAACAAATTGAAAACAATCTAAAAGGCTTTTGAAACTTGTAATGAAAAAAGTTTTTAGTTATTTAAAAATGTTAAGGTTTTCGTGGAAATTTCTGAAGTTTAAAAAACCTGAATGTTTTATATAACAGATTAAAGAAGAAATAACAAAAGATGAGAAATTATAGGTAGCACTGACAATTATATGTGTTGGTATAACTTTACAGCAAGGTTATAATGTTGCTTCAAAATATGCCAGTACACCAATGACAATTGGAATACAAGAGGTTCCATTAGATGGTATGTAGAATGGGTTAAAATTTATTTATTTAACTTATTTCTGCAAAATATAGAGAGACTTTTAAAAATTTAGGAAATATTTGAGATTCATTCAAGAACCTAATTGGTTTGAGATTGTCTTCTATTTTGTATAACCAAAGGAATTGAGTCTTTGCAACAAACTCTGATTTTCTAATCGTTATATCTTTTCAACCCAATGTCGCAGAACTTAAATATTTCAAACTATGAATTATGCTGGATAATATAAATTAAGTTTGAAATATCACAGGTTTACACCATCAAATTTTAAAGATATTGGGACTAGTAAATCTGTGTTTGTGGCAAAGACTCAATTCCTTTGCCCTGTCTTGTTTAAGTAACAATTTACTAATTCAAAATTTTCTCAAAAAGTTGTAGGAAAATTACAAAATCAGTTCACATGGATTGCATTTAAAGGGACCTTTCACTTATTTGGGTAATTTCGTGGTAAACTAATATTAGCTATTCATTAGTATAAGTATTACTTTTCAAAAATATCTATGACCGGAAAAAAAAAACGATTTATCGTTTAGAATTCCAGAGGGAATGTATGATACCCTTTGCAAAGACACTATTCAAAAGTTTTTTCCGTAAAAACAGTTCAATAAAAACTAAAATTATCATAAAATGACATCATGGGTCAACGATTATAAAATAAAATATAGAGAATTTTGATTTTAGAATTAGCAAGAAATTAACGTTTTTCGTGTTCAAACATGAGTAAAAAATAAACCGGTTCCTAGATTCCAACTCTTCAATAAATCACAGGGACTTCTGGGGAATTAGAGAAAATGTAACAAACTGCCAAATGTTAGAAGTAAGTTATATTTTAAAAATAGTCAATTTAAAAATGATTTTGAAAAAAAATTAAAGATATCTACAGCTAACCATTAGATACTACAATTATATTTAATATTTGAAAAAAATTTTAAATCCAATGACTATGCCAAAAAGTTTCAAATAGTGTCTATACCTTTGCGCTGGAATTCGGAATGATAAATCGGCTTTTTCTCTGTTCATAGATATCTTTGAAAAGTAAGAATAATACCAATATGAATAGCTAATAGGCTATTTAGTTTACCATCAAATTACCCAAGTAAGGTAACAGTCCCTTTAAAAATTTTATGTATAGCTGCAGTGCCAGATCTACAACTCTCAGTCTGTAAAAGGCTTATGATACAAACTTGGTCCAAAGGTATAAAATGATAAATATCTTTTGTTAAATGCTTGCACATGTCTTTTTTTCAGAAACTAGTTTACAGTGTTTTAACACAGTTCAGGTAATTCATCAAGTCTTTCCAGCAACATCAAATTATTTTAAATTGCTTTTATTTGCTCCTTAGACATTTTTTTAACACATTGCCTTCAACAATACAAATTATCATATTTCAATTTATTAAAACTTTGGATTTTAAAATTAGCAAGAAATTAAGGCTTTTGTGTTTAAACATGATTTAACATATTAACACGTTTATACAATACAAAGACAACTTTTTACCAAACGATGCATCAAATGTTTAAAATAAGTTAGATTTTAAAAATAGACAATTCAAAATAATTGAAAAAAAAATTAAATATATATTGTAACGGAGTTCAAAGTGCATATTTTTAACAAAGAATTTCAGATTATGTTTGGAATCAATTATTTCTGTATATGGGAACTCTGCTGGGTGTTTACATAAACTAAAACTCCTTTTTTGTAAAATTCACAAACGAATGTAACAGATTCTTTAAGAATTTCAATAAACATTTTTCAACCCCCACCATGTATCATTTAGTTAGACCTAAGGTTTAACAATATACAATTAACTAGCAAATACTACGATTTATTTTAATATTTGAACATTTTTTTTATTCCATGACTATGACAAAAATGCAAAGGTGTCATACCTTTGTGAAGATTTCTGAATGATAAATTGGCTTTTTCTCAGGCCACAGAGTTGTATTTGAAAAATAAGACTAATACCAATGGATAGCTCATAGACTATTTAATTTACCCTCAAATTACCCAAATAAGATAACGGTTCCTTAGAAATGAAAAAAAAGATTAGATAAGTCAAGATCGTCTGACAAGTAATTATCATTATTTATTTTGCAATTATCATGGTACAGTTCTAGAAAGCTTAGATTATAGAATGCTGAAGTTAGATCCTCCCTAAACCCAGATTACCTTTGAATGAACCAAACTTTGAACCCTGATCTCAATCCTTGTTTCAAAGAGGACAGATTACATCCCTTGGTACAATAGATAAAACATATGATATATATGATTGAATATCATGAAGGGCCTGATAAATATTTGTCATTAAAAATGAAAAAAATGAGAAAAAAGAGAATATAAATAATTCTAATGAAAAAGACCTATTTTATTTAGAACATCTTATGTCCTCAGTACAATGCAACTTGGAACAATTCGTTAACTGAAACATCTATAGATGAGTTTCTATCTCAAACTGGAAATTTCTACAAAATAACTGATCTTATTGAAACTCTTGACGGTATGAAAAGGAACAGCTCAATTTGGAATTCCCAGATTTTAAATTCCTCTGGACCTTCCACAACATTCAGGTATTGAAATATGTTATTTGAATATTAATATTTGAATATTTTCTTCCTCCTTTATTTCCCCTCCGATCTTTCCCTTGCCTAAATTGATTTTCTTGGGACTTTGCATAAATAAATTAAAAATAAATGCACAGTGATAAATGGTATAAATGCAAATAATGACCAAGCAATGCTTATTTTTGAGCAAATATTAGATAAATTTATTTGGCCTAATCTTACCTAAATCATTTTGAAAAGTGAAACCAAAATTTTAAGGAAATAAAGGGTTCTCTAAAAGAATACATTGCATGTTTTAATTTTTCATGAATAGGAAAAATTTGGTTCCATACGTTGAAAACTATGGGTTACTGTGCTTTTCTTGGAAGCATAAAATCTCTGAATTCTCTAGACTTCGAATTATTCCCACCAAGAATTCAGGTTCCAATATTATTACTTTATTTAGTGCGCTCACTTTGTCAAAATTTAGCTAAAAAAGAAAAAGACTTTTTATTAAATTTTTTATGGATGCCTGTAATTACAGCAGTCAAATTTTGATGTATGATCTTTACAGATAATGTGTTTATGCTGATACATAAGAAGGGACAAATAAGATTAAACTCCAAAACTGATTTGACAGAAATTCCATATATTCCATACATTATGGATACACAGCTGGACATTGAGGCAAACAGATTTCTTTCTACATCTAACATGGAATGTGAGGATGGACTTGAAACTTATGATTTGTGTTCTGAAATGACAATGTGGAAGAGATTGGAAAATAATTGTATTCCACCATTTTGGATGCAACTACAGAATATTTCAAACTGCATAATGCATGCAGCATTCAATATTTTCCAAACTAGCCCTGAAGAATGTTTAATACCATGTTCTCAGATTAAAGTAAATATCAAGCAAAATCCTGTGGACTGGCTTTACATCTTGGTAAATCCTAAGCTCCCCATCAACACTGTCATCCCTGGATACTATTTGACCATTCCTTCCTATATTCTCTATTCTGAAATGCAGGAAAGTTACACTGCCATTTCTTTTATTGCTGAATTTGGAGGTTGGGCCGGATTGTTCCTAGGAGTGTCAGTTATTGGG